GAGTGGGTCAGTTGCTGTAACTATCACAATTTTCAGTTGTTTGCAGAATCATCAGAAGCTTTTTCTGAAAAGTGTGATGGTTAAGATGTTAGATAAGGTCTAGGGAAAGCCACTCTCAAGTTCATCCTCAGCTGTAGAAGTTTACTAAATGACTTTGAGCAAGTCACTTCTTCTCAGCCTGACCTACTTCACCATGTTGTTATTGTGAGGAAAAAATACTTGATATTCAATACTTTTATTTTTGCCAAGGGTGATTAGACACACAAGGAATTTGTCTCCAGCGCAGAAACTCTCAATGTACATGCAAAGTAACAGAGTAATAATAATCATAATATGATACCAATAAGAGGGGGTAGTAGAGAAGATGAGAAGGATAAAATAAAACAATAAAATAAAAATCAATAAAAAATAAAACAAAAAATAAATAAATAAAATAAAACAATAAAATAAAATAAAACAATACTGTGAGGATTAGGTGTTCATTAAAGTGATGGCATGAGGGAAAAAATTGTCCCTGAACTCAGGAGTTTAATTAGGAGGATAAGTTGCTATGTATGCAAATTGGAGCTCCTCGAGGGAAGACAGTATATAAACCAACCGGTCAAATAAAAAAACAACAACTAAATAAAAGAATAAAGTAAAACAGGAAGTCTAGATTAGGAGAGGAAAAATCATCACCTTCCTCTATGTGAAATTATATTCAGATCATTCAGTCAGAGATTATTTTCATGTATTTGTGTGCTTAGCACAATAGTTCCTAATCTATTGTAAAATAATAGTATTGCTTCGATTGTATTGTAGATACTCCTCAACTTACGACTACAGTTATGACCAGTATTGCAATTGTAAGTTTTTGCAGTCATAGGTTGAGTCATCATGTGACTGGACCTGATCTTACATCCATTTTTACAGTGATTGTAAGTCAAGTCAAAGAGCTACATTAAGTGAATTCAGTTTCCTCAGTGGCCATTTTGCAAACTGATCAATGTGACCACAGGTTGCTGCAGCTGGTTGTTAATGCTAGCTGGTTGCCAAATGCCCCAGTTGCAATCACATGACCACGGAGGGCATTGTGATTGTTTGTGATAGTTGTAAGTGTAAATTTAGGTTTTAAAACGACTCTTTTGACTTAATTTAGAACCATTGCTAAACAAATAGTCATAATTTGGGAATTACCTGTACTGTGTAATTGAAACGAGTACTTGAAGCAGAATATAATTGTCTGAAAAAGGAAAGTGAATCAGGCAATTTGCTAAAGAAAAAAAGGCTTGCCTTTTCTGAAGAAAGTAATAACATTCAAATTTTGAAAGACTGACTGAAGCACCAATTGTAGAGATTTTACACAGGTAAAAACCAGGCAAGTGGACAAATTCAGCTCTATTTGTACATATTTAATTTTTGTTTTAAATATAGAGAAAGATTCAAAATTCAACAGTCCTCCTATATATGGAAAATTTAATTGATTCCATTCTGTTTTAAGATGAGAAAACAAGAAAATGTGCAGATAATGAATATAATGGCATATCTGGGTACAATGTTGATAATTATATCTCTACTTTTATTTCTTCTCAGAATTCTTTCATAGGGTATGTGCTTATAATTACAGCCTTGATACCAACTGGATATTTTGTTGCTTTTGTAGATAATACGCTTTATAAATCATCCCAATGGGTTTTATAGGTTTTAAGCTTATAATTGTTGTGCTATCTTAAATTTTTCATTTACCTATAAAAATATGAATATTTTGCTGTTTTTTTTCTTTTTATTTGCACAAAGTCACAATCTGTAATAAATTTTGCTCTCTTCAGCCTCTCCTGTCCTATTTTTGTCCTGCCACAGCACTTCACCAAAAGATCATTAGCACCTGGGAAGAAATTGAGTCAGGTTTCTTCAAATTAGTTTTCCGAGGAAATCTTTTTGATGTGTAACATTTTATTAAACATGGATAACTGGACTGCTCAGCAGTAGATTAGAGGCAATACTAATGTTATAAAGGGCAAGGATTTGCAAAATACAGGTTTTTCCAGTCACTGGCATATAAATGTCCAGTTGAAAATTTAACACTTCCTCATAAAAATATAAATTCCCCTCTGAGGGAAGTTCATAAAAACAGAGCTGCTTCAGAAAACAGAGATTTCCAAAGCATTCTTTTGCTGTTCCTAAGAGTGGAATTAGCTACATCAAACATACAATTACCCAGTGATTTGCTAGACCATCCTTTTCCTTGCCCTTAAACCATAGTCCAGCCTGCTTCTGGTGGAAACTGTATTCTGAGGTATGGCAGAATACCTCAGAGAAAGGGAGGCAAGTTGACAAGGTGTTGCTTTTTAAAACAGCAACAGCAGCAGGTCTGTAAATAAACAAACCTATTCTTCTGGTATTTAGACTAATAAGAATAATTGTGGGATTATAACTGGTTGTGAGGCCTATAGAATTTAGTTTAAAGAGGTGGAGGGTTGCATTTACCCCCATGGTATGCAGAGATAGCTCTGCAGCCATGACAGATAACAGAGAAGGAGGGAGGGAAAGAAGGAAGGAAGGAAGGAAGGAAGGAAGGAAGGAAGGAAGGAAGGAAGGAAGAAAGAAAGAAAGAAAGAAAGAAAGAAAGAAAGAAAGAAAGAAAGAAAGAAAGAAAGAAAGAAAGAAAGAAAGAAAGAAAAAGAAAATCTGTGAAAACAACTTTCTAGGTCTTATAATATCGAGATGGAAATGGTGGATGTAGGAGTCTCCCTATTAATCTATTTGACATTGTTCAAAGTAGGTGTTGAGCATCCAGAATAGTTGATAAGGAAAAGACTTACTGTATGTGTGCAGTTAAACATTTTTCAGGGTTTCCGGATAACAGCTGACTCTCTTCTTTGGATGATCTACTTTTAACATTTCATACCAGCTCTGAGCACATTTGGCTTCAGCAGTTCCTTCATTTGGGAAACTGGCATTAAATTCTGCTGCAGCATTTTATGTGGAAAGAGAAAATCCTGTTCTTGGATGAGGGACAAGTAGGGGAGATAGATTAATTCCATGCTGCTAAAGGGATTTAAGCCTTCACTGGTATTAATCAGAAGTTAATCTTTCAATTGTATCTTCAGCAACTAGCCACTGTGGGATAAAGCAGCAAGACTACTTGGATCAGAGAGGAACAGTCCTGTCCTCATTATAGTTTCATTTAAAAGTGCTTGGGGCTTTGGAAGAGCAGAAAGATATATTATTTCACACAAATAATTTCACACATTATTTCTCAAGTTACAAATTCGGGATCTAAAAGTCTCTTTTTAGTTTTGCTTGTGCCAAGGAGTGAAGAGAAAATTCTGAATCTACTCCCTTTTTTTAATTAAAAAAAGAGCCTTGTACCTGAACAGCTACTGGTATAGCTGTTATTGAAGTTCCAAAGATATCCTGGTGATACAGTTTTCATCAAATATGAATGCTAAGTTAATTTCACTTGCTTGAGATGTTTTTAAGGTATACTTATCTGGAAATGTAACATATTCATGCAGTTTATATTGAGATTTCATCTATATTTCCTGAGCAATTGTCATATCTAAAAAATTAGTAGAATTGTGTGCAAATAATGTCCTTTTCTGGGATTTGGTAGGAGTGTTTCTTTTCATCTATGAAGTTAAAAATAAAATAGATTGTTTCCACTCCCTTTGGTTTATCTAGCTTTTACAAATTAATGTGCAAATGTATTATATAGTCTGGCCACGGTATCCTGTTCTAGTTGTTTGTAGCCGATTTACCTTGCCCAAAATCTTTACTTGTCACAGGAGACACAATAACCAAGGGATTCTTTAGAAACCTAATAGAGAAAAAAAATATTAGATCTAAAAGAGAAATTGCAAATTTAATTTTCTGCAAAAGTTTTTTTTCCCCCAGGGTCATGGTCATCTCATATATTTAGAGAAATATTCAGACAATTAAGAGATCTTCACAATCCACATGTGGCTAAGATTATAACAAATATATATTTTACTATTCATGCTACTGATTTAATCCAGCATGATATGCATGGAATTCTCCCCCGATTATCTTTGTAACAATCTTGTAAAATACCTTAGGCTAAGTGGTTGTGATTTGTTGTACAAAGCTTTCATAAAGTTTTATGGCATGATTTCAATTCTCTTTGGTCATTTCCAACCATCAATCATTATGAAACCATATATGTTCTCAGAAGCCTGTCATGCAGTTATAGAATCTGAATATGTTAGTCATGATGGCAGACATGAGCAAAGTACTTACATCATAAAGAAATTGCTATCAAAGTAGGCTTTTACTGTATAATTTACAGTATCACCAGTAGGACTTATTAAGCTTCCTCTGTTATGTCCTTAACACCACAGCAAACGTAAGACTTACTTACATGACAACGATTGATAGAAAGGAATGTATTAACAGAATGACATTTAATAGACTTTTAAAATAATAATTTGCCCAAGAATCGTTGATTAATTGCTAGCACTGACACTATGGCAAGAATAAAAGACGAGAGCTGAAGTACTAATTATATGATGTCTGTTTTAAATTGATTCCCAAGTTATGCATGCAGTAGCACACTTTATTGTTTAGACAGTTTTCCCACATCATTGCATATGTTTGCTACCATATTAAGTGGTGGGATAGAGGATGATCTCTAGATGTTGCTGAACTGCAACTCCCAGCTGCCTTTATCACAAAAACTCTGTTTGGGGCTGCTGAGAATTGTAACTTTTGGGGACTATAGATTCTATAATTACACTCTATGAGGCCACAATTAATTTTTCTTCATAAATACAGCAGCAAGTCCCAGCATGTAAAAATAGCCAAAATTTTACTGAACATCTATAAGCCCATAAAGGAATGAATCAGAAGATATGTAAGTGGGATGAGTCCCTTGGATTTTAAGTGGGAGTTGCTAGCAACTACATGTTCTTTTCAAATATTATTTTCCTGCAGTTAATGTTGGGTTTTCAAGTTTTGGAAGAACTGATTGGAGTAAGGATCTTTTGATTCTGTCATTGCAGGTACTCGCAGGGATGAATGTCTACTCATCTGAATTCGAAAAAATAAAAGAAGAATATAATATCCGGGGATATCCAACAATATGCTACTTTGAGTCAGTTTCTACATACTCCCCGCATAAGTATTGCATATAATTGTCTATCTATATTTATCCTTGTATCCCAACTCTTCTCTGTTTCACTGCTTTTACAGAAAGGGGAAATTCCTGTTTAATTATGAAAACTATGGTGCTACAGCAAAGGACATTGGAGAATGGCTGCAAAAGTGAGTTTTTAAAGTTGACATCACCATCTTTGAGAATGAAATTTTTTGATGAGCAGTAGGGGGAAAATCTAAATAATATATTACAATGTAATCTTGAGTTAAAGGTAAACGAGCTCTCACTGATTTTCATTTGTCATGCTTTCTATTTTGCATGTGTTAATTACAATTCTCCATTATCTTTTACTGAGCATTGATTTCACTTAAGCTTTATGAAAAAAACCCTTTTTGTCAGTCTCTCCTTTGTAACTCAGTTAGAATATATTGTCCAATAGTTCTGCATGTTTCTTTTCTCTTTGGCTAGTGGGGGCAGCGGTGGACAAACTTAACGATGTACATGCAATAATCATCACAGAGAAACAGTGACATTTCTATCCTCAGATCTGTAAGATCAATCTTGATTTCTTGTAATACATTCCTTCTTTTTAGGGCCAATAATGCATCTTAGGCATTTGACAAGGAACGAAATGATGCAATCATGACTATATATAGCATATTCATTGCCCAAAGCATCTTGGAGAAAGCGCAGCATAGGTTGAAAAATTACAAAGAGGAGATACAGGAAAATATGCAAGGGTCTCATGGAAAGTTATTTACCAATTATTTGCCTGCGTTAATAGTGCTGGTGTCTCTATGCCATGATACTGCTAAGAAAATTTGTTTTTCTGTATAATATTTGAGCCATGTGCAATCCAGAAATGATTCAAATATATTCATGTATTTGGTCTTCTGTCAGACGTGCCTGGCCATTATTTGTTCTGAAAGCAAATTGAGACATTGTACTGTTCTAAGGATTTAGAGTGATATATTGTGTTAGGAGCACATGAGTCAGTGATGATTTACCACTAGGTAAAGTTGAGTGCTTAAAGCTTAAAGCTTCTTTGAGAATAAGTGATATTTTTTTTGTATCTGTTACCTGAATTACCCTAATAATACCTGTCAAAAGACGATAAATGTCACCCCAAAATTAAACATTTGGCAGAATAGGCTGAATTGGAAAAGAAGGTAAGTCTCATCTTAAGTCCTGTAACTCTGCAGCTGGACTGAAACACGCTTGGACACATCCAATTCAAATTGGACAATAATGTCACGGTGGATTGGTAATTTGCATTGCTTTTTATTCTTCCCATATTTGATGCATACATATCAACTATTCCCTTTTGGGTTATACAGCATTAGGCAGAGACAGAAAAGAAGTAAGAAATATAAAGTCAAAGACACTAAAGATGTGAAATAAGAAAAAGGAAAGGAAGCATCAGTAAAACCAGTTTACATGAACACCATTTGTTATACTTCTTCATACATTTCTGTCCTTGCATATTCTCCTTGCTTCTACCATATCTGCCCATCGCTCCATACATTGATTGCCCTTTATTTTTTACGCTTCTCACTTCTCTGTTTTTCAGAATCTCATCAGTTCCATCTAAACATGACTCCATCTTTTTCTTTTTTTTACTTCACTTTTCCTTCATTTGTTTTGCAGGTTTATCCTTGTTCATTTTCTCTGTATTTCTGTCAACATGTGCACGCCTGAATATTCCTTCCCCCATTTTCCCCATCTTTGTTATACATTCTATCAAGAAATAAAAATTCATCGACTTTTTCTGCTTTTTTGCTTTCTATGTAACAATTGTTCTCTAAAACTTCAGATATATAATCCTCGTGGCCTCTTCCAACTGACCTCTCTGCAAATCATTTGGATTCTCAGCAAACAACATGACACCATCTGCATACAAAACTACCTACACATTCATTCCCTTAACAAATACCCATCTAACCCGGCCACAAATTAAGAACCAAGGGAACATCATAAATCTTTCCTTTACTTCCTACTCATGTTCAGTCATCCCATTAATTCTTACCCATGCTAGAATGAATGCAACAGATAAATCACACAAAATTTTAAAAAATCCACTCATCACATCCACAATCAAAAATTCCGTATTAACCCAAAGTATTCCATAATTCAAATTTGTTCATTTGTGATTATCATACACAAATAAAAATTCTTTCTCACATTTATATATTTCTCAGTAATCTGCTAAAGATCAGTAATTTGGTCTTGCCATAGCTTCCTATTCATGTTTAACAAACTCCCCCTTGCTACCTTTCTCTTTGAAAATGGTAACAATAACATCCTTCCAGTTGTCAGACCCGTGTGCAATTTTCATATACATGTAAACCAACTCACACAGCTACTCCATGAATGAGTCACATATGTTTTTAATATTTCATATGCCAACAGCCTTTCAACATTTCAGTTGCATTTATGCTTTCTTTTTCATCATTCTTTTCCAGGAGAATAATTTTAATAGCATTAATGTCAATACCATTGTTCATATTGCTATTATTCACATTTAGATCAATAAAATACTCCAACATTTCCTTACTTTAGTATCAGCCCAAATTATCTCTTCACTTTTACTGTTAATTTATTTTGCTCTTCAGCAGGGCTCCCTGTTGAGACCTGTTCACCCCTTTCCAAAACATTAAAAAAAAAAACTGTCAGAACTGCTTTTTACACATCTGCCACTTTAATCTTAACAATCCATGGCTCTCTTTAAATATATTTTTATAACTATCTTTTTCTTTTGCACACTATCTTTCAGATTCATTTTTATTGCATTCTTATATGTACTTTTTCTTTATTCATAGCCTCCTGCTTTATATCAACTAGATAACTATCCTATTTCTTATTTCCCATTAAATGTAATGTAATATGCAATATAATTCTTTTTACTCTCTTTCAAGCAGCTCTATTTCTTTCTTCCTTAGGTCCTCTTTCCATGCATTCTGTTGTGAATTTTATCTCCTTTTTTATACACTGCTCATATTTTCTTTTTTGTTCACCCCTATTTTTGTTAACCCCTATTTCTTTCATAACTCCCATTCCTTTAACTTTTCTCTTTTTCTTTCACATCCATTTTTCTCAAGTTTCACTGTTAATTCTACCCACAAATGGTTTGTTCCATTCAAGAACCTCTCATCACTCTTGTAACTGTCACACATGTATACCTGCATTTGTCCAAAACTACCTGTACACTTTCATTTCTGGGCAGATATTCATCAACTCAACTCCATTCTATAAGATCTGATGACTTTGCTTCGGATTTGTTATACTGTTCCTCTTTTTTCTTAGTATCGCAAGACTTGTATATTTTTCTTCAGTTTCATTTCATTTGTTAATTCATGCTCTTGGTTCTTTTTCTTGTCTTGGATTCCAGAACACAACCTTGCATGTGCCATACTTGTTATTAGATAGGCCCATATTCATCTCTGTGTCCACAGTGGCTGCAGGTTGTAAAAAAAGTTGACCAGAGGTTGATCACACGTTCATGGTTGCCACGTTGACTTTTTTTTTATCCCCTTTTCCCTCAGCAGGCACCCTTCACTATAAATCATGGCTGTCATGAATCCAGGCTTTCACATTTTCTTTTTTCAAGTAAGATGGAGATGCATATGCTAAGGCTACCAATTTTAGTTTTACAGTTAGTCCTTGACTTAACAACAGTTCATTTAGTCACTGTTCAAAGTTACAATGGCACTGAAAAAAGTGACTTATGACCATTCCAGCATGGTCGTGTGTTTAAAATGCAGACGCTTGGAACCGTGTTACTAACTTAACAACTCTTAGACAGATCTTTTAAGGAGCACAGGTGTGTTTCTCTTAACTCCATGTAATGCAATTAAAAGGAAGCACTAATTATTGCAGATCTGGAAGCAATTTAAAATAGGCTTGTTTGGGAATTGTGTGTTCCAAGGTCCCTGGTTTGCTCTCAGTACTTTCTGATTGTGTGTTGGAGAGTGGGGGTTTTGTGTCAGAAGAGGCATCACAGAACATTTAGGCTGCAGCTTCTTACAGTGTTAAACATTAAGTACATTCAGCACCTGCTGTGCAGATCAAAGAGAGAAAAATGTCCTTAGTGTTAAAGCCTCTTTGGTCTTTTTAAGAAAGCATGACCAATGAATGCAGAGAGGTTTTCTTTCCCTTCCCTGAATAATGATGCATGCCTTCATCACCTTCAACACCTCCTTGTGCCTCAGCAAGGAGGTCCTTATCTCTTGGCGACCACATGTGAACCATTTGAAGAAACTTCTAGAGTTATTTCCCCCCCCTTCATTTCAGTTTTTCCACGTTATAGTTTCCTAATCCCGCTAATATTCAATACTTTTATATCAGTGCCATGACAGCTACTGAATGCAGTTACTGAATGCAAAGCAAAAACAGCTGCAGACTGTTTCCAACGATAATGTCTGCTAACAAGCCACTCTGGGCTTTGGCTGACATTTCAGCCATCTAGAGTTAAAGGCAGCTGTTTGTTCTCTATTAATTTTCAATGCATGTTTAATAGTTTCCCACAAGAAAATAAAATGATGCTGCAGCTTTTTTCCTCTCTCTCCAGAAGAAATCAATAGTGGGGAAAAGAAAGTCATATTGAGAAAACATGCTTTAGTTGAGACCTAACAATAATTACAGTTGCTGCTATAAATTGTTTGCAGTGTAAGCCTGGTAGATATGCACAGTAATAATAAGTAATAACTCAAATATGATTTTAGTATGAATGGTCCGGCGTTCTGCAACAGTCATTCAAAAATGCTGGAAAAGTATAATGGAACATTTTGATGTACCGTATTTTCCGGCGTATAAGGCGACCCGGCATATAAGACAACCCCTGACTTCGGCGCCGATTTCCATGCCTAGAAAATTGTCTTATCCGCCGGAAACTACCGTAATTTCCGGCGTATAAGACGACTTGGCGTATAAGACGACCCCCGACTTCGGCGCCGATTTCCACGCTTTAGAAAGTTGCCTTATACGCCGGAAAATACAATATGTTTGCCCTATATGGAAATAATAAACTACATTAAATAAATAACTTCTATTACTTAGTATCCCGTTTCAGACTGAGCACACACATACTTGTAAGGAGCTTTATGGCCGCTAATAAGAATAGAATAGAAGAATAAGAACAGAAGGAATAGAAGAATAAGAAGGGAAAGGCAGCAGAAATTCCCCTATACAGTTTCAGGGGGTCGAGAGGTTGGTAGGACGTTTTGCTATGACTGTGGCAGCAGAGGAAGCTGGGGAAAAATGCTGGAAAGATGGGCAGACATGCAGGTGGGATATCCTGTGCTGGAATATTGGCAGCAGGAGGTAAGGGAGGAATAGAAGGTCCTGGGAAGAGAGGGAGAGGAGTGAGATACATTGCACTAGAATCTGTAGAGATGAGAGAGTTGTTGATGTGTACCACTCTGGTTCCTTGCTTCTCAATATCACAATTCCTCTCTTTATCTGGAAAGGTAACTGGATACTTGGCAGGAGATCAGAGAGTCTTCAAAATAACTGATGGAAAAGGACAGAATCTTGTCTTAATTAATTTCCAAAATATGGATACCCATTTAAGGAATTCATCTGAAAGACTTCCGATATGTTCTAAGTCACTTTGTTTTATATCCGAAAACTCTGATGAACTATTTGACCTTGTTCTTAAAGACAATTTTATGAACAGTTAACTTTCTTCATAAAATTCATTTGAGACAAATGAAAAGCTGCTAAGTAAAATAGAGACATAAAGGAGAAATGCTTCATTCCTTTAGATAATCACTTTTGGATTGTGGTACTGTATAAACTGTATACACCAGTATAAACTGTACTAATTGCCTGGCAGAGATTGCTCAACTATTTCTGTTCATTTCTGGATATAAGTCTACATACTTCCCCACCTCTCACCTCCCAACTTGCTAAATGACTGTTATTTGTCTTCTGTAAAAAAATGACTATTTTCAGCAGTGTTGGGTCTAAAAGAATGATGCAGTTACAGTATTAACACACTTTATGGTTTGCATTCATTAGCAACTTTTCATTGGATGGTATTTTTGTATTATGCTTCACTGTCAAATCGCAACAGATTATTTATAGAAGTTAAGGAGAAAATTAACAAGGCATGTCCCTTGTTCCATCTTAAAGTTTTTTTTGTATGTAGCCTGTAATTACCATTATTATTCTTACAAAATTTCTGTGCCAGGTGCCTCTCCATCCTCCTCATCCTTTTTTAAATTTGTATTTAATGATTATCCTCCTTGAACAGAGACTTACTTTTATCAAATTACTGTATTGCATGTTCACATTTACATAATCAGGTGAATTATGACCTAGACAGCTGCTCTTTACCTTCAAAGAGCCCTTGTGGTGCAGTGGATAGAATATTGCAGGCAAACTCTGTTCACAGCCTGGAGTTTGATCCTGATTGACTCAAGGTTGACTCAGCCTTCCATCCTTCTAAGGTTGGTAAAATAGAACCCAAATTGTTGGGGGCAATATGCTGATGTTCTGAACTGCTCAGAGAATGCTGTAAAGCACTGTGGAGAAGTATATAAACCTATTACTATTGATGTTATTACTATTGGTAGTACCTTCTGAATATGGCCTACTGTGTTTGTTTTTTATAGTCCTCAGCCACCTAAGCCACAGACTCCTGAGACTCCTTGGTCAGAAGAAGAAAACACTGTTTTTCACCTAACAGATGATGATTTTGACAAGTTTATCAAGGAACATTCTTCTGTATTAGTGATGTTCTATGCACCATGTGAGTATGTTTTAATTTATACCCAGATTCAAACCATCTGCAGAATGAAATGGGCATATTATATATAGCAACCTTTATTTGTACAGTACAGCTTGTATGTTGAAACATGGAATGACAGAGCGGACAAGTTGTCTAGAACATCTTGGAAAGGTAATTGGTTTGTAGTGATTCAGATGTGACAAACAGATTTAAAATTAATTTAAAATAATTGCCCAGAAAGAATGTTTACTTGGAATCACTTGTTATATAAAAATTCTTGACTCACCTAAGAAGTTAATGAACTTCATGGGGGTGGGCAATGAATCCTTTCTGCTGGTTGTCTGTTAATAATTCTATGCTGTTTAGGAATCACCACAGCTGTCCATAATTGACTCTGAAATGTAAATTCATAAAGCTCATTATTGTATTAGCTGCTGATATGGGTTTCACTCCATGTACATTCATCTTTTTGGACCATTGCTACATAAGGATGTGTCCTATGCCATTTTAATTCTTTTTTGCCTCGGATATCATGGTTTTAGTGATAGCATTTATATTATACTACAACACATATGTCTTCAGAGTCTCTTTTGTTTTATGAATATCTGACATGATTTCTTAGTTCACACCATAATCTTTACAAACACGTAGAATGGGCACCCTTGAACTATTGGTCAAACTGAATTGAAAATATTTGGAAACCAAGTCCAAGGTCAAATATTGTCAGTTATGTGCACTGTCCACTGAATGCAAATCCTTAAAATTGAGAAACTACTGATATCAATAGACATAGAATTCTCAGAGAGGTGGGATTAGTAGAATTACATCTTCATTCAACATCCCTTTTATAAATAATGTATTTTTGAGAAATTCAAGACCTAGTCCCCCACATACACACACTCATTGAAGGATGACAAAAAAGGTGGTATTCTGAGGGTCTCATCTGGAGTGTACCATAGTTTCATGATATTTTATGTAATTCTTTGATTAATCTTCACTCCTCCTGGAAAAGATATCTGAATGAAGAATCACTGCCAATTTGAATCATATTTTAGTTATTTCTTCTCCAGGCCTTCCTTTCTTTTTCTTGAAATTATACAAGTGTGGATAATGCTGTGGCGAGAACATAGGTTTCTGTAATGGTGGAGATTCTAAATTTTAGTTTCAGGTATTATACTGGAAGCTGTTTAGAACGGGACTCGACAACCTCTGGTCCATGGATTGGTCCGGGGCCTGTTGGGAACAGGACTGTACAAGTGAGCAAAGCTTCATCGGCACATGCATGGGATATAGGTAGCGCACAAAACCATCCCCCCTTCCCACTGCTGCTGATCTGTGAAAAAATTGTTTTCCCTGAAACCAGTCCCTGGTATCAAAAAGGTTGGGGCTGCTGGTTTAGAACATAGTGCTTGACTTACAACTTATGACCACAGTTAAGCTCCAGATTTCTGTTGCTAAGCAAGGCAGTTATTGTGCCTCATTTTAAAACCTTTTTTGCTACAGTTGTTAAGTGAATCACTGCAATTGTTAAGCGAATCTGGCTTCCCTCGTTGACTTTGCTTCTTAGAAGCTGGCTGGAAAAGTAACAAATGGTGATCACATGACCCTGGGATAGTGCAACTGTCGTAAATACATGCCAGTTGCCCAGCACCTGAATTTTGATCACATGGCCATGGGGATGCTGCAACAATCATAAGTGTGAAAGCCGGCCATACATCACTTTTTTCAATGCTGTTGTTAACTTCAACGGTCGCTAAACAAATGGTTGTAAGCCAAGGATTATGTGTACATTTTATAATTTGGAATGTTCTTAAATGATGCAGCAGTATTCAGCAGAACCAGGAACTACCTTACAGATATGAAAATGCTAATGAAGTATTTTTTGCCTGATTGAGTCTCTACAGTGAAACTCCCCACCACCACCAAACTTTCTCCCAAATACTGAAGCTTTTGAAATAGAAGTATAAATTCCCCGAGGCCCTATTTAAAAACTCAAGATCATTTTGTTAAACAGAGTAAATATTGAACAGACTTTCCCAGATGCAGATTTAGAGGCAAAATTAAATCATTACTATTCACTGACATTTTATTTTTTATTTCAATGTGCCTGAAAAGCCAATTGGGTGCAGCTGGATTCCACAATTGAAAGACATTTTTTTTTCTTGGACCATTCATGGGCTGCTGAATTGTTTTGTGTAATGATGCTTCCTTCTTCTCCCCCAGGAGTGGAATTGCAGAACCCTCAAGAATTCATTGTGATGTAATACACAACCTGTAATGATATTTTGGGAATGAAATCTTTTGTATTCAGCCTAAACCAGATACTGCTATTGATGCAGAATCAATTATGGGATTGTCTGGTAATTGGATCAGTGTCAATTTATGGCACTGGATGACATGGCAGGCTGTTTAGAGTAGTACATTCCATCACATCTTATGGATCCTTGCTCTATTTGGCTTGGAATGTGTAGCTTGAAAGTTATTAAAAGAAGCCTTAATAGAGAAACTTACAATATGAGGTAAATATCTCCTGTTTAAAGGAAGTATAGAGAATAAGGAAGATGACCTTGACAGAGATAAACCAGCTCCATTACCATAGCAATGAGGGAAAAACATGGTTTAAGTCCAAAACAAATCAAATCTCTATAAAAGTAGTTACAGCTTTCCTGATAGGAGACCATTATTAGACCAGTTCCAAAGAAGCCAACACTGAATCTTTTGGAGATGGGCAATTATAGTTGAATAAGAGAGTGGTGGTTTAAGTATGAGTAGACCTGGATGCAGCAAATCATCTTGAGCTACTGTATTTCAAATAGGCTTCAGAGCAGGTAATGTGGTTGAAACTGACTTGCTCAGTCTGATGGATGATCTTTGTGGACTGACATGGAAAGTTACTCTCATGATTGTTCTCAACATTTCTGCTACTTTTGAAACAATTGATTGTGATGTGATATCCTTCTGGGAATTGGAGACAATTTTTCTTTCCTAGTGAATTTTTGGCAATGTTACTTGGAAATAGTTGCTCCCTGAAATAGACGCTAACCCATGTTGTCCTTCTGGGTTCTATTTTGTCTCTGATGTTTTCAATATTTTCATGAAAGTCTTAAGAGAGCAGCAGATGATGTGGAGCTGGGTGTTGTCATTTTGTTGATGACATGCAAATCTGTTTCTCTGCATCATCTTGAAGTAATGGTGTGTTCTACTGAATGTCCGCCTGCCCTTGGTAAATGGAAAATGAATCCAGACAAGAATGAATTATTTATTGTAATGAGTTACAATTCCAGAAAGAGAGTAGACCTCAGTATGGGGCCACACTGTCTCAGAAGGAACAGTAATTTGATGGGGGGGAAGTTGCTTCTGGACCAATTTCTCTCTGCTTTCTCAGCTAGAAACAGACAAGAGCTCCTCTGTGAGGGAGATGGGTGGCTAAAAATTTTTGTACAGCATATAAATAAATAAATAATAAATTCTGCATCAACTGGGTCCCTTACTGGAAAAAAAATTGGTCTTAATTTTCTGGTATATGCACTGGTGACCTCCACCCTTGATAATGTCAACACTGCTAACATAGACTGTTCTTGCTTTGACAACATATGGAGATGCAGCCATTTTCTTTTCCTTTATGTTTTATTCATGACAGATAACTTCTATACCAAGATATTTGTCTATTCCGAATGCTGCAAAATTTGGAAGCTAAGATGGCCTCTGGAAGTTTTTAAAAACGTTCCCATTTTTATATGAACTAAAAGAATTGTAGTTTCTTCCCAATGAACTCTAATGTACTTCTTGGTACACTGAAAGCCCAATTTGGCTTAGGCTACAGAATGACACTTTTCAACACAGTATGGTTCCTTCTCAGCTTATTGATATTATCTAAGGAAATTTGTGTAAAGATATAGGCTCCTTTTGCATGAATTGAGCTTTCCTTGTAGCCACCCTGGCTCTTTTCTTTCTCCACTGTGTTTAGGGACTCAGTCTTTTAATTTCCTTTCTATAAGAAAATATGTCCATTTGAATACACATTTATCTGTTTTTAGTTGGTCTTAAGGCCTCTGATTTAATTTTGATATGTTTTGTCATAAGCTACTGAGATAGATCAATAAAGCTCATCAATAAATGTAGTGATAATAAGTCTAATAAACAAGGCTAGGTAGCCTTCTTCAGTTGTAGTAAATAAAATCAAATTTTTATTATGGTCACAAACTAGGATAACATTTGCAGTAAAGTTTATGGTAGTTAATCCTATGCACTTAGAGAATAGCAAATTGGACAAGACTGCTATACAGTATCTTTTTAGTTTTGGGAAGATTCTAAATTGCCATCTATTATCAATCTGAAGAGATAATGTGGTTAGGAATAATTATTTGATCTTATGTGCATCCTTTAAAATTTTCTTCTCATCTTACAGTTCACAGAGGGACTAAAGTTAGGTTTCATAGGGTATTATTTTTCCTTTTTTTTTCTTTTGTTGATTGCTGCTCTAGTAGAAAAGAATTAGAAATGTTGTCCAGTATCTGCAGGTCCATATGTTTCCTAATCCCAGTTTAATTGCTTCATTCCCTCTGAGCTACATTGATAATACTCTTTTTTTTTAATAAAAAGGTATTTATTGTCTTACTGTTCGTGGCACATTTCAAAAACCTTGGCATCATCCTTATGATCATTCATATTAGTTATGATATTTAATATGCATCCCATTGTGTAGCTGATAACTAGGGATTTCACATAGCATGCCTGACCAAGACTGCTTATTGTTTGTTGAATGAATTCAATTCAGATTGCCTGCTTCCAATTTATATGTATACATGCACATACACAATATATATACATTTTACCATATTCCAAAATACATAAAATAAGAAAAAGAAGCATAGCTAGCTCTAGTTTACACCATCATTGTTCATGTACCTCCCTCTATTTGCTATCCTTGAAAATTATACATGCTTCTTTTTTTAAATTTTGCTGTTTCTTCTTTAAATTTATTACCTTCTCTTTTTCAGGATCTCCTCTCCATGTAAAAA